GCAGCCCCGCCGCCTCCAGCAGCAGCAGCCCCCTCAGGGCGCGCCGCGCCATGGCCGGGGCTCGGCGCCTTCCGCCGCCCGCAGCGCTGCGCAGGCGCCGCCGCCCCTCGGCCTCACGGCCCCGTCATGGCCGCGCGGCAGCGGGCGTTGCAAAACAGGAGCTGTGTGAAAATCTCCTCCAGAAAGGGTGGGCTTTGTTGAGTATCCGGCCGAATCAACGAGAAAAGAGATTAATCCGTGAGGCAGATAGCGGGTGACAGGCGAGCGCTAAGCGATGGCCAGGTGTTCGAAATACAAATCACTTGTCGGTAGAATTGCCTCGTTAAAGTCTTGGGCCGGATATGCTTCAGTAATCTCAGGCCTAAGGGGAGGTTAATAATGCCGGGTGAGAAGGATAGACAGCTGATAGTGGACACAGAGACATCCAGCAGAACCCCAAGATACGGAAGAAGCTGATAAGGCAAACTCTGCTCCGACTGGGTAATTTATGGCAGGGGCAGATTGTTACCACTGAATCATGGTCACGGACCCTAGAAAACCACCTACCCGAAAGAAGAGAAAGACTGAGCATGTTGACTGATTGGCATGAGAAGGAAGGCAGTCATTAACTAATAGAAGGTGGAAGACTGATTAATAAGGGAACTATGTCACTTGCAGCCAATGAACACTAATTCCTTAGTCTCCTAAATTGTTTAAATAGTAAAATCTTTTGATAGTTGGTGTGCTTGATTTGTGGAATACATTGGAACACACAGATTTGTGCAACTCTGAAATAAATAATCAGTGTGTCTCCCAAGTGTAAGGAAGATTAATCTACAATGCCAGAAGTTTATGTCCAAAAAGGAGACAATGGACTCATGTAATGTTATTAGAATAAAGACCATGGGCATTTCCCATGAGGTCTCTCAAACTGTTGGGGGATGCAGCCCCCTTTTTATTGTAATTTTCTGACTGCATCTCCCTCTTCCTTTTTCCCATTGGCTGAGGTACTTGGAAGATACAGGGTATCTTCTATATTCCCCAAATCGCTCTATGCTCCCTTCTAATATACATCCTCTCTTTGGTTATATAGATGAAAGAAAATCCTATTAATTATTCTATTAAATCTTTGTTCTTTTTCTCTAGGATCAGGAATTTAACGTGGCCTTGGCTGAGCAGCAGTCTGTGTTGATAGTAACGTTTTTCTAGAATAAGGGTTTCTTCTGTTACTTCCCTATCTGTAAGTTCCTAGCCCTATCCACAAGCAGATTTACATGGTCCGTTTGTAAAGACACATTCATCTTATTACTTTCATTTTAATTGTCTTCTATTATTCATATTGCTCTTAACTTATATTATGGGACTGGCTTTATTGCCAAAATAAAAGCTCTTCAGATTTTCCTTAATAGGGACCTCTTTTTCTTTGTAAGATGCATTTTTCCACCCTCTGCTAGTGTTTTGTAAGATTAGGTACAATATTTTTGCTGCTCATTCTTACGGGGTGATTAATTTTCCAATTCTCTTTTCCCTGGTGGCTGACTTTGCAAGTATTGCTCGTACTCAGTGGGATTTCTTAGTAAAGTAATTCCTGCTTTGAGGATTTTAAGTGAACAGGATCAATCCAAGACGCAGAAGCTTAGGGTTGTTGGAGAAAACATGTTAGGAAAGGAATTCGCTGCATTGTCATTGTAGCAGTTGCGGCTCTAACCTGAGAGGGTCCTAGGTCAGGGTCTCATGTAGCATATAGAATTTGCATTGGTTGGCAAGTTCTGATCTGGAAAGTAGTATTAGTAGTGTATTTAGGGGCTTAAAAAGTATGCCTGTATTGTTTAGGGTGAATTTATAGCAGCTGTGATTCAGAACACTGAATTGTAAGAGGCCAAATAAAAATAGGAAGGACCAGGCACAAAATGTGAAATACGCATTTTTGTTTTAAGGAGCCCATAATCCCTCTGGGTCCAGACTTCTGCTGGACCCTACACAGAGGTTGTTTGTCGTATCTTGGCACTGGCTTTTATTTCTCACAGAGTTGGGAAGAGTTCAGGTGTGGAGACATGATATGGGTTGTCACTGAGTTTTAGTGAATTAGTAATCCTCTCCTGCTCAGGGCAGAGGATGAGTAGAGAGAGAGAAAAGAAAAAAAAAGATCTCAATTGTTAAGGCTGAACAGTTTGTGATAGCTCAGCAGGGGAATATTTTACTCAAGACCACTGTCAGTTGTTCAGTAGGAAAGGAGGTACACAGCTCCCCATGGTTTGCTGAGGAATGCAGCACCTTGTCACCTGGTAGGCACTCTGGTGGAAATGCCTGTATGGAAGGTTTCACAGAAGAAATGGGAAAGAAAAAAAATGGGAAAGCTGGGGGGAGAGAAAATGATGCTTTGTGCAGTGCAGCATGGTTTCAATCTGCAGGTAAATATTTAGTCTTTTTTCCCATTTGGATATTTACTTCTACATTTTAAAACCATGTTAAATAGATCTTTTGCCCTAATGTCCTATAGCTTGCAAACCATGGTGAAAAAAGGCAAGACTAGAGGAAAAAGAATGAAAAGGAAAGATTACCTGCCCCAGTTTGAAACTAGAAATTGCTGGGCTCTCTCTTGCCCCTTGATGAGACACTGGGACTCACCAAATCATAGTGTCACCAGGCAGAAATAAAAATGTCTTTACTGGTCTCTTTCCCTCTTGAGCCAAGGGGCCCTGATGTCTGGCTTCCTCTTCCAGCTTCTTCAGTGTTTTCCATGCTGGGCTCAAACTCTTTGGCATTTGCCATACTTAGATGGTCATGAACATGTGTGATGAGGAAATTTGCATTGAGGCCATTCAAAAGCTTTGCTTCTTAAAGCAGTAATATTACAGTTTTCATTCCTTTTACTTGTTAAGTATTATGAAGGTTAAATTACAGCAAATTCTCGCTGTACTAATGGTTTTCCCCAGCTCAGGTATATGTAGTAGAGAGAGAAACGATGCAAAGGACTATTGATGAAGTAGGGATTAAATACAGTGGATCTTCAGGAATCAGTAGTTCCTAGGGATGGCTCATACGGTTGAGAAGCCAGTAAGGAATTTAGAGATTGGGAATTTTAGGCTTATCAATTGTAGCTTTTTGTTAAAATGAAATTTGCTTTTGTGCTCATCTTGGCAGATGTGGGCATGGCTTTGTACGTAAATAGGAGAGTGATATAAATGATATCCATCATACAATGTCTTATATAAAAGCATGATGTTAGGTGATATATAAATTATAAATGTATTATAAGATATTGTATAATGTGTGTTATATATACATTACTGTATAAATTACATGTATCAGCTGCTTCCACCCAAGCATCTGTCGCCCTTTATGTAAGGGTGGAATTTATTCCTTTCTGGGAATAACTTTCCACAAAGCATGAGCTGTTTGTACTGTGTTTTCCATGTTAGTGCATCTGGCAGCTGGATTCACGTGGGACTCACCGCAGGAGGCAGTGATAACTCCACAGCTCTATTGTGGGGGCCTGTGGGAAGCCTTCCAAGCACTTCCCCACAGGGACACGGGGAGGGTGGGTCGAGGTGAGTGCACTGTTCCCCTGCTCTATCCTGCCAGCAATCGGCAGAGCAGCACTGGGGCAAACGGGAGTCATGGAAGCCCTGGGGAAGCTGTCTCTGCGGCACAGCTCCAGGAACTGGCCACAGGCTCATGCTGGAATGGAATGCAGTATGCGGGAGGCTTTACTGCAAGATGACTTCCAAGGGGTAAGGGATAGGGAGGGATGCAGGTGTCTGGGGGAGCAGCTCTTCTAGCACTTGTTCTGGCACGTGCTTTACTGACACAGCTACAGGCACAGCTGGGGGCATGCACTGGCAGTGACATTGAATAAGTGACTCCGCTTCACCCTTGACCTAGGACAGCAGAGAGAGGCAGATGCTTCCCTCAGCAGAATGAGCGGAGTTTCTTGCTAATGCCTTCCTTCTCCTACTCAGAATCTTCCCATGTGTCTCTCTGTAAAAGACAGGAAAGCTCCTGTAATTTCCTATCACTGACCATGTTATGAGTATATGAAAAAAATATTAAGTGCCTTGTTGAGTCAGTTTTGCCTCCAGTTATTAGTGAGTCAGGAAGGTCACAGTTACAACAACACAGTTGTTGAGGATCTCATTAGCGGAAAACATTACTTTGTCAATAATTATTTGAATGCATTGGTGTTATTATTTGATGACTATTATGCTGAATTAATCTTTGTAATGAGAAGGCTCTGATGTCTTATTTAATCCTCTGACGTGTTTTATTTTGTTCTCTGGGTTTCTTGGTGCGGGTATGAAATAGTTTATCTAGATTTTAAATAATTTGATATTTACAACTGTCCAGGGTATACATGTAAGCACAGAACGAATTTTATTAAATGTGGAGATCCAGGTAAATATCAGGTTAGTGAAGGCAAATTGTCAAGCTGCTTAAAACTCTATTTTTCTCTCTCCTGCACTCCTGCACAAAAGTTATTAAAATGAAGTCATGAAGCAAGTAAGACTATTTCTCCTGAGATGGGAAAGAAGATAATTTTTGATGACTAATGCCTTCTGATTAAGGGCTCTTTCACACAGGCAACTTTTACACATCATTGCTGCACCTGTGTAAAAAAAACATGTTCTCTCTTCTGGTTCTGTTTAATTCTGAAGAGGATAAAATAGATTCAATTTGTAAGCATTTTGATAACACATCTGAATTATAATTGCCTCCCCAATTCTATTTTCAAGGAAGAAGGTACAGTGGGTTTTTTTATTTTTCCAAGAACAAGCCTCATCTCTCTGGCAGTATCAGTGTGCAATACTAACTGAGGCCATATTCTTTTTTTGTACCCAAGCAAGTGGCACTGAGGGTAAATAACTTGGAGACAGTGGGAGTCTCATGATACTTCGGCTCTCTTAGCACCCCCTAAAATTTACAGTAGCCTCAGGGGTGTTGGAGTTGACACAAGCAAGGACATACATAGAGCTGTTGCAGTGGTCTGCAATTGCTGGAGTGTCACGATTTCCTTTTTTATGCAACTCTTTTCTATGCACAGTCATGACAGGAATGAATGTGGCAGCAGTGTCTCTGGGACATTGGCTGTCTCCTTGCAAAGAGTCATGAGGTTAAAACAACAGTGTTTCTGGTACTTGGTCACTGAACAGTGGCAGATACTTAGCACTTCCAAGATGCACTACAGAGGAAACAAATAATTGGTTAAGGGATAGAAATTTTTTCCAGGTATTATTGGTTTTTTTCCTGCATAAGGCAGGAAAAAATAAAACTTACCTGGTAAAAATATTTAATGTGTTTTCAGAAGTGTTTATGCTTCTCTGAGGATTACAATCTCTTAAGGATTTCAAGAAAATTATTGAAAAATGGGAGATGATTGTAACAGCTGTGGTTTTCTAAAGGAGCTTTTCCTGACAGGAGGTTGACTAATGGTTCCTTACTATTTCCCAGGTCCCAGGTAGTTATGGGATAGTATTCAATGACAGTATTACAGTCTTTCGAGTTACTTTTTTCTACATTTTCTTCATGACATAAATCTTAGAAGTGGTGATAAGGTCCTTATTATGATTGTTATAATTTTGTTCTCCATGTCTTTAATAATAAAATATTTTATAGCTCCCAGTATGTTGCTGGTTGCAAAATGTTTGGTTATACTCTCACTTTGGTTGCCAGGGTAAATGAGTGATCTAAAGTTGTTGACCTCTTTCTCCCACTCCAGATAGTGTTGTTTTGAAACCCTAAAGATACAGCTGTTTCATTTTTCCATTTCCATAACAATGTGCCAAGTGTCCCCAGTTACAGCTCCAGGGATGAGTTCGTTTCAGGATTCATGACAGATCTGCATTTTTACAGATACTGATTGTAGCTGAAAAAGCAACAGAAAAAAATATTTTACAAACAACTTAATGGGGCCAGTGGGAAAACAGCTGTGCCATAATTAATTTCCTGATGGCCTTATGTCATGATAAAGGAGGCAGCTGAATGCCAGAAGGGGAGAGTGTCCAAAAGATGCTTTGCTTCTGGGTATTTGCCCTTCCAGCAAAGGGTGAGGGAATTGCGTGGCAGCTGGACGATGGCATTGGATCAACATTTTGCCACTTAGTGTTGGAGGAAAGGTTCAAAGTATTAATGAAATGGAAGTTTGTTTCTTTGCTGTTTCTCCACATTAGGCCAAATCGCTCATTAGCAACCCATATTTTAGATTTAGACTGATGTCAGGCTTTGTCTGTTAAAAGATGTTTACGTGACAGTATAGTCACAGAAGGGAAGCACACAGTGAGATTCATGTTCATGTGTGGAGACTTTTTACCTACAAAAGTTCAGAGGAAGCCTCTGTCATTGTCTTGTACAGACAGTACCACAGAAAGGACAGGCTGTTCTTTTTGTCTGCATTGATGTAACCAACAGGCAACAGAAGGCAATTCTTCAGTTGTACAGAAAAAGTGCCCAGTTAGAAAGAAAGGTCACACCAATGCTTTCTTCTCTTCTTTACAGTCAGCTGGGATCCTGTTTTGATCCTGCAGTCACCTGGAACAAACACGTTGGAGATAAGAGTTCTGTGATCATAATATATGAAGACCTGAAAGGGGTAAAGCAGATGCTGTTTACTGACAGCCAAGCCACATCTGAGCCCATTCCTTGGAATCTGCTGAAATTAAGAGGAAATGGCACAGGTTTCTGAAAGAGCAAAAGTTGATTTTAGCAACAGGTTGAGTCTGGCTATACAAAAGCAGAGCTCCAGAAAACAGAAATGCAACACAGGAAAACAGTGAATGAAGTTAATAGATGATAGTGATGCACATCCCAAGTGGATAACTCCCTTTTTTAGAGGAGCATATTGCACATCTCACTTTTGCTGTCCTGCTTTCTGTTATAGATAAATATATTGTTGGCTTTTTGCAAATATTAAAATGAATGTTATGTGTATAAGAATGGAAATTTTTGTTGTATTAATATAGTTTTCTTTATTTCTGTTATTGATGAAACTTAGAAATAGTGGTATAATACATATATGTTAAGCTATGACATAGCATTAAAACAAAAACTACTTTTGTCTGTATAACCCAAGTGGTATAATACATATATGTTAAGCTATGACATAGCATTAAAACAAAAACTACTTTTGTCTGTATAACCCAAAGACTGAAAAACATAGCTGTAGACTCTTTCCTTTTGTAAACTATCTTATCCAGATGAAGACAGCAGTGACCAGAACTCTGGGGGGAGGAATTTATTGCATTTCTGGTATCAGGGAATGTAAATCTCAATGGTGCCAAGAAGATTGATCTATTGGGAAGGGGGCAAGAGAAACCAAAGATCCTAAGAAGAATGTTTGAATCATATATGAGAATTTATGGATATGTAGTAGGGTTCTGTTTTTAAGGGACAATCCTTTGTCAGTAAGGTGTGCTCTCTTGGCTGAATGCAGAGACACCCGGCCGTATCTGTATACTTTATTTTTTTCTCCTAATTGTTTTTTTTATTAAACTTTTAAATTCTATAAAAATTATGTGAACCTCATTTTTCACCTTTCAGAACCTGGCTTCCGGTGTAAAGCAGATAGCTGCATTCTTTGGATTCTCACCAACAGCTGAGCAGCTCCAGGCCATTGCTGGAAGGCACACTTTTCAGCCAGCGAGTGTTAAAGCTCAGGAGACTCATGGTGCTGTTGGCTTGATTCTTTTCCATAAAGGTAAATTTGTTTGTGTTTTGCCAAAGCAGTAGCTTTGGTAGCTCTTTGTCTCAGGCAGACAGGAATTTGGATCAATAGATGGTTAATATTTATGTATAATTTTCAAGGCTGGCTGTTGTTTAAGAAACAGCAGTTGCTCTTCAGAAATCTCAATTGATTTCAACCCAAGAGCCAGTACCATTCAGTAAAGCCCAGTATGATATGATTAGCCGAAGTGCCCTACAAGTTAACACCCACCCAAGTTAACAAGCCCACCCGCTGTTGTGGTGGGCACTAAACACCAGCTAAAATAAAGAGTTTTATCTTGGCTTCTGTGACTACTGGGGATGGCCAGTAGATGGAGCGCCTCCACAGATCTTTCTTGGGTTTTCTAAATAACTCTCAGGATTGCGTATGGATCACAGTCAACTCACAGAATCCAGATGCTCCACAGATTATCTATGTTTTTTAGCCATGGATCAGGCTAGAACCTCAGACAACCCCCTGCTGCGGGCTCTCCAAAATCTAGATTAAAGGTGGAGCATCTTAGAGCAGTGTCTTGTTGCAACAAAGCTCTTGCAGTTAAAAGCCACACTTAGGAGTTTTCTGGGCTGGTGCCACAGCTGCTGGTCACCTTTTCTAGTCTTCTGCAGCTTCTGTACAAGGTGTATGCCAGCACTATTTGGGCAGACCAGTAACTTCCCATGGCTGCTTTATGTTCACATTCTGTTGAAGACATCAAGCATAATGTAAATGTGTGTATTCTGTCAGATATTCTTTCTGACAGGAAAAAAAAAAAATTGAAATATGATAAGAAAGAAAAATTAGTCTTTTGTTTTAAATGATACTCTTTGGTTGTTAGAGTCAAGGGTAATAATTTTCTCTATATTCAAAGTGGTTTTGGAGACTGGAAGAAGGTTTTCACTGAAGCTCAGAATCAGAAACTGGCTACCAAATTCATGGTGCGCTTAGAAGTAGCTGAGTTGGGAGTGAGGTTTAAATATGATGTGTATTGCAAGGCCTTGCAACATCCTATCTAATATCCTTTGCAGAAAAAAACCAGTAATGTTCAGGCTGTTTTTCATTCACTTCTATGAAATAAGACAGAAATCAGGACAACATCCAGTTTAAAAATTTTGAATATCTGTGCAATTTGCAAAACTGTTTCTACTGTTATTAATTATTAATTAACTATAATTAATTTATACCAGCAGTCCTTGCTTGTGCAGTTAGTGTCACTGAAGGGCCCTGGGCACTCTTAAACAACCTGTAGAGCTTTGGCTTCCTGTGGTTTTAACACTGATTTTCAGCTTTGATTTCTTGTTTCTGGTAGAATCCTGTATGGAATATATATGCTGTAATTCAACCTGCTGAAATCATCGGAAATATGTTCAGTAGGTTGGAAGTGATTTTCCAAGAGGTGTTTTAAAGCAATCATGAAATGTGATTTTGATTCTTAGTTTCTAAATTTGTGGGATTAATATGTAATTTTAATTTCTAGGTTCATAGAAGTTTCAGAAAGTCTTGTAGCTGCATTTTGCTCTTTTATGTGTGCTGATCTATGTAAAAAAAAGTAAAGGAACTCAGCGGTGAAAACTTTGTCTCCTTTCAGCAACTTTGGTTTTCTTTCCTTTGGTAGTTTGAGATCACTGGAAATGGAGCCTTGCCTGGGTTGTCTGTGTTTACCTGGTTTTGCTTGGGTTGCTCTATGATTAAGAGACATACATATGATCTCAGAGCCAGGATGTGGACTTTTCCTGGATGTCTGTCTGAGAGCTTTGAGCTGTTGCTGTCCACAACAGAATGACTGTGCTTTGGTGGAGCCAGAAGACCAATGTGCACAAGATGATATAACACTGAATGGCCTCATAAGAGGGTGTTTTTTTAGGCCTCAGTTTTCCCTTGAGAGACTGGTTTAGCACCAGTCTTTGGCAGCTAGCTGTTTTTCTCACCAGAGATATTTCTTTATCTCTGAAGAAAAGGAATCCAAGGGAAAAAGTGCTCAGAGAAAGAACATGTGGATAATGAGCACACAGTTGCTAATTTAGCCAGTAGAAAAGTTCTCATAGTTTCTCAGCTTCTGGCTGATAAATAATTGCATGTGATAGATGTATACAACAAATTCCCAGCCATTCAATGCCAAGGAGAATCTCCTTCTAAAAGTCTGCCAGTGACAAGGGAATGATTAAGACAGCTTAACTTCAGTGCGCAGTTAGGAGCATCTTGTCCTTTTGTATTCAGGTCTCCTGAATAAATTTTGTTTATTTGTCTTTCCTAACATATTACCCTTTATTTTTCTTCTCCTGTTCTAGCCATGTTTACTGCAGCAATGACACCTGTGCACTGCTCACTGGTGGTGCAAAGCCCTCCAGCGGTTGGTCCTTTAGGCTGACTAGCTAAGATGCCAATTTCCTGAAGACTGGCATTCACATGGTGGGAAGAGAGGATGAATGCAGCTGTGAATTTTGTTTCAAAATTAAATGCTGTAATAATGGTAATTTAAAATAAGTAAACCAAAAGTGAGGTACCAGCAAGGACAGAAAGCAAAATAGAAATCACAGAATCAAGCCATATCAGGATGAAGTGGGTTAATACCAAACAAATGAAAATTTCTGATCACTAAAACAATCTTAAATAAATTTGAGGTTCCCTATAACCTTCAGGTAGGCACTGGAAAAAGCAGCAGCATTCAATGGCTATTTGCTGCAGCTGTACCTGCTGCAGCAGTGGGTCAAGATCACCGCTAAGCAATTAATAAAAGTCAGTTCAAAAAGCTTTGGTCAAGGATGATGTTGAAGCAGGAGCACTACTTCCTGTTAAAATAGGTTGCCTGAGTTACTGATAGATCAGTAGCAGCTAGCCTGTGCACTTGAAGTTCAGTGAAGTATTCCAAAACAGTTCAAGAGGAAATCCTGTCTCAAGATGCTAAATAGGCTGCTCTTTAACATATTCTTAAAAATAGACCTTTTGAACAGCAGTGTTATTTAAAATGAAGCTGTTTATGTATCTGAGGGAATATTTTATAGGTGATGTTCTAGAATTCCTTCTGTCTGATCTGCACATTCTTGCCAAAGCATATTCACATACTTGGTAATTGCCAGCTAGTGATGGACATTAAAGAATGAAGTGAGTGTGAGTGTGAGGGTCAACTGATTTTTTTAGCAGCTTTCTGTGTGCTGCAGGTTCAGTTCTGTTAAGAATGACGTGGTGGGAAACAAAGAAGAAAGCTAGACCTAATATCACTGTAGAAAGGGAGAATTTGTACCTTTGTCAAGCACTTTAGCACATTCAGGATGAAAAAGAACTGTGAGATGCTTTGAGATGGTGGCATTTTCCACCAGGTCAAATCCAGTAGCTCACAAAGATTGTGGATATTGAGAGCAGCTAAACCAAACAGTAAAATGAAGTTCCTCATTGTGGAAACTCACCATATATGCTTTCCATCATAAATACAGAAAGCAATATTGCATGTGTATTTTCCATTTCTATATGTTATGCTCTCTATATATTTTAGCTTTTATGTTTTTTATTATGGTACTCAGCAGTAAAACTTTAAATGGTATTTTTGACACACAACATTTAAGGAATATGTTGGATCACTTATCTGCTAAATAAGAGAGTGCTTTCCAGTCTTTAACCACAGTTTTGATATCACCTTTTTTCTGTATTTGTAATCTGCTTCACACTTACCATTTTCCAGCAGTTGTAGGTATTTATGATGCCTACATTTATGGAAACTGGTAAATAATGTTCTATTAGTATTTCTGTTACCTCAATTTTCCTCATTATTTCCTGAGCTATTCAGTAAAGATCATAAGGCAGGAAAGCATAACTCAATGCTATTGAAAAAAAAATTTGAGGTCTGGTCTTGGAAAAGAATAAATGTATCTTTTCTGTGCAGAAGATAATTCTCTTGTGTGTTCAAGGTGTCAATAATTCAGCCAAGAAGGAGAAGGATTCTGATGTTGAATTATAATAAAAGTAAAATGGGATCAAAGCAGACGGAGCTGAGCTCAATTTTCTCATTTTCAAAATGTGAGCATTTCATATTGCAGCATTATGCAGTACATTAATTGGAAAGATAATTAATGTTGAATTACAATAGAAGTGCTGTAAAAGCACAGGGCACATATGACATCTACAGGAACATCAAATAATTTTTCTGAGGCTAGGCTGTTATAAAGGGTGCCAAATGGATTTATAATGAAGAGGCACATGAAATACAGCAATCACAATCTTTTTGTGACAACAGATGCCTGGACTTCTAATATGTTGTTTTTTTGGTTTTTTTTGTTAAAGTCCAAACATTGATCTGAATATTGGCTGAAGGATCTTTGGTGGGGATTAGCACTTTCTGTTTTACTTGTAACACCCTGCAGAGCCTGGCAGTGTACACTGGAAGTGTCAAAATGAGAGCGGTTAGTGATTGTTACAGACATTAATATTGTCAGGATTGATGTAGAGGAGAGAAACAAAGAACAGCAGCATTCTGAGTGAGAGCACACTGTATCAGTGCTGTGTCTGAGGGCATTGCTAGAGCACTCTGGTAAAATGTCATTTATGTTCAGTTGTTTATGGTCTTAGGTACAATTGTCCTGTATTGCTATTGCACTTTGCAATGCATGTCATTGGATATATGAAGTATTAGCCAATAAGATACTCTGTTTTTATCTGAATTAAATGTTTTTCATACGATTATTTGGCTTCTGCAAAAACTTTATGGGCTTGAGGAAGACAGAAAATTAGTCTTTGACTTTGTTCAAAATGTGAGGCAGTCAGGAACAGTCAGGAAATGAAAGGGGCCTGGGAAGCTGGTATCCTGGGAGGCTTGTGTACTTGTGAATAATTTAAGTTTATTGACATATGCTTGTGGGGTCTCCAGTGAGTTCCCTGCTGTTTTATATTTTACAAGCCAGTAAAGCCATTTTCATTGCTAGAATACTCATTAGCATTGCCCCAGCAGGTAAATAACTCATAGTTGCATTATTGTGTATTTCTGATATATCCGTAGGCAATGTATTTATAGTCAGAGGAAAAAATGAAATACTAATCTTCGGCATTAGACATACATCCCAATGAATGTTTAAAAAGCCAAAAAAACAACAAACAACCAAAAATAGAACACTTATAATCTTCTGTCTTTCTCATTTATTTCTCACAGACAGCTATTGGAACAACTTCTGCAGATGTGGTGAGATGTTATGGAGTCTGGGCTTCTGTGCACCTCGATCCCTGCAAAACCAGGTGGGTGTGCTTGGCGATGTCGTGCCAGGTGTGAGCCCAGGGCCCTCACCATGCTGAGAAGAGGCTGTGGTGGGAAACCCCCTCTCCCCTTGCCTTGGGAGCAGTGGGAAAACCTCATGGCTGCCACAGCCCAGTGCCTTGGGGCTCTCCTGCTGCCTGGAGCTTTTTCTCTTGGGCTGTCTGGTGCTAGATAGCTGGCTTTTAAAGGTGAGAGAAGTTGTTCTCCATGTTTGAAAAATGCAGCTTAGCTGTCGCAGCTAGGGCAAACACAGCTGGGAGTCTATTCCCCTCCTGGTGACCGAGGGTGCCAGCCTGCCTGGGGGGAGCAATGGTCACTTGGTGGTGAAAAGCACAGTAGGTTCCCTGTTTTGTCTGAATCCAAAACTCCTGGGGGTTTTTCTAGCAGTAAAACCTGACTGTGTTCTTGCCAGAGAGAGAAAAAACATGGCATGGGGGCATGTGGGGGAACAGGACAATATAAAAACAAGAGGGTACAGAGGGAGATCAGCTCTAAAGGGTGTATGTGTTTGATGAGTGTGTTCCCCATATGGCTGGAGATCATAATTCGGAGCAGAAAGCCTCAGGAAAGCCACCTGCACAGTGGTGCCAGTGGGAAGTGGCTGTGCCCTCTGGAATCTCAGCAGAGCAACAAATGTGTCAGAGCGCCGGGGTTTGCTCAGGTCCTTGTTGTACACAAAGCACAGTATTCATGGTCAGGAGTAAACAGGGCTGTAAACAATCTTCTGTTCTTATCAAGTCCAAATGTCTCTGTGGCACTTAGTTGCTTTTGCAGGCCATTTTGTGCCTCTCCACTCCCCGTGCCCTGGCTGCTGCCATTTTAACTCAGCAATCTGAAGCACAAGAGACAGATAGTGTATTTTATACATGGGTGATTTCATAATTTCTGGACAGTTTCTAGTCAGGCCCTCCAGGTCTCTCTTGTGTTGCCTTTTTCACTGTCCATGTTTTGAATTGTTTATGATTTGAGGGCCACACAAGTGCTCTGTCCACAAATGAATTTTTTGCTGGAAGCCCAAGGGCACTGAGAGAGAAGAAATATGCGTCAATATACAAAGATGACTATGTAATGAGTAGACGAAGTGTCATTATTAAATGCTGTAAATATAAAGCTGTTTGCTGGCATGGCAGACCCTCCAGAATAGCAATAACAGAAATAGCCTGAGTTTGCTTCAGAATGAAAACTGTTCAAAGCATTAAATCATTGAGGATCAGAGGAAAAGACAATCCATAGCTCAGGTACAGCTATGCTGTAGTCTTTCAGAAGGTGTGGAAGCTTCCAGAACTGAATCCTGCTTGCTTCCTCTGTAACCCACTTTTGGTAGCATATCTCTCCCTGGCAGGCCCCACTGCACCCCACATCTGCCCTGCTGCCCCCTGAAGCAGTGCCAGGCATAGTGTCTTGGGTACCGGAGCTACTGAGATGCTACAGCAGTTTTATGGTGACCTTAGAGAGACAAAAGGAGCTTGAAAAGAAGCACATTGAATGTTTGCTGAGTGGTTTGCACATAGACATGAACAAGCTAGCCAGGTAGGAGTCAGCTCCATTTTGGTAGTCATGATTACTGCAGTGCTGAGGACCCACATCAGCAAGGGCCAGCCTCTCTAAGCGACACTGATGCTCAGCAGTGTAACCCAGAGGAAAGCAGAGTCCCACAGCATGGATGCAATAGGTGTGAGTATCTAACTTGCCAGCTCTAAGCCAATTTGTGAAATGTCAGTGTCACCTGAGGTGAACAGGGTGAGTAAATGCATGGCATGATGGAGCTGCTCATGGGTGTACATGGGACAGTGTCTGCAATATTGGTGCACTGGAAGAATGAAGCAGTGAATGAGTTTATTTGGGAATGGTCTGGAAAATGGCACTTGTTATTTGCATGTTAAATATTGATACCTGCACTTGCTAATCTTTTTAATGCCAAACTGAGTGTAATTTTATTGTGTTCTGGGCTGATTATATAAAAATCACTTTCTTTTAGAAATAGTTGTTTAGAATTAAATGCAATGTTATATTGTTAGGGTTCACAGACTTTTGCTAACTTATGTGAGCACAACAGTTAGTTGGCATTTAATTATATGTGTAGTTAATCCAAAGCAATGCAACATTTTATAAGGATAATTGGTAAGTTGTCATGTAGGTGGTTTCTCTAAATGGCTTCATAGCATTTAGAAGGACAAAAGAAATTTCACATAAATAATAGGTTATTAGAAATAAATAGGTATGCAATTATTCATAGTATCAGAAGTGGACAATTAAGCTTACAATGGAATTCTCTGAATGCTACAGCTACAGTATTTGCATCAAATAACCTCTGAAATTTGTAGTTGGCTTTGTTCCCCGTGTAGAATGCCTTGTGTAATTATTATACAGTTTCCTTTTGAAGAAATCCGTTATGTTAATTATGTTAGTTCTGATGCTGTGAATAATTTGCCACGTATTCAGTAAAATTGATTTGAGTTTTGGCCCCTTAAATATGAGTGAACCATCTTATGGGGATATGTGCTTGATGTTTCTGGGGCCATCTTTTTCTAATTTTTGCGTAAGAGTGTCATACAATTAATGCTCTATTTAGGAGCTAATTTGAAGCTGGGGAGCAAGTTTGGACCTTAATTTTTCTTTGGAGAGCATAGCTGGATGCTGGGGATTGTTACAGCAAAAAAACCCTTATTTTTTTTCCTTCTGTGTACCATAAATGTTACCTGAAATTAAATAGAAGAAGAGAGCAATGCCACATTCTGTTCTCAGATAAATACTCTCCTTAGAATAGATTGCAGCTGTGACACTGGCATCAGTCTATTGGGGATGAGTTTGACCTCTGAAGTGCTCTCCCCTGTATACTGGAAAATGCTCCAAGTCTCTTTCTATTGAGGGGAATAGGAGGGAATTAACATTGTGCTGGTTGTTTTGTGCCATGTGAACACAGTTGGGTTGCTGAGGGGCTGGCACTGATTTAGTCAGTAAGTGCTCGTTTTGTTCCATCTGTTTGATTACCAGGTTCGGTCAAGAGTAGTACATGAAAAGACCTATCAAAATGCCCTTCAGCAAAACATGGCATGATCCTGCCCTGCAAATGTCAGATTACTATTTGTACTGTGACAACCCATTTCTCTGTGTAGATGAAAAAGCTTATTATATTTTTGCAGCATTACAGGAGAGAGATGTTGAATTATGGGGAAAATCCTGAGGGACAGCAAAGTCTCTCTAGTTGTATGTAATTTCATCAGTTCTACTCTCAAGGCAATAGTCCTGAGAATGAAGCCATCGACATCTAGGTACTGGCAGTGGTTACAGGATATGAGGAACATACTGAACTTTTTGTTTTGCACTTTACACTGCTTTCCTTAAAATACAATCTCAGCTTCCACCAGGTAGATCCCCAGGGGATTTCAGTGTGTCAATGCCCTGAGGTCAGACATTGATGCATACCCCTTTTTGCTCTTCCCCACCCCACAAGACGAAAAAGCAGCAGAGACTGGTCCTCTCTCTTTGTTTAACCAAAGTGATGATGCCAGTGTCCCCTTCTTTTGTTTATAGAATGACCTTATGGTGAGATCTTATTCCTGACTTTAATTTCTTCTGCAGATGGAGGAATCAAACCTGTGTCTCCCAAGGCGGAACAGAAGTGCCAAGTTGTGGACTCCTGTGATAAAAAGAGGCTACTCTCCCGTTGAAACTACTTCACAGTCAAAATTAGTTGGGCAAGACAGAGACTGTGACTGACTGGGCCACCATACATGCTCTTGGGAGATGGGAGCTGAGGGGCTACACTTGAGAGGGAGAGAAGGAACTTACTGGTCCCTTGCTGGCTGCAGTGGTACATTCATTCATTAATCACTGAACCCTGCATTGTGCTGTATTTTGAGTGGAACTTGCTGCTGCTGTGCCTTATATGGACAGTAGTCCTACGGCTGCATGTCAGGCAGGGGAGATCATGTGATGATCAGAGGAGGCAGTCATGTGAGATCAGAGGTCCTCAGGGAGACTGGGAAATGTCCATCTGCTGATTCTGTCATGGGAGAATGAAAATATATGGACATATAGGCATGAAAACAACATGATTCTCAGGTCAAGTGGAAATTTCTGCTCACAGAGTAATATTCATACGGGCAGACTCCTTTGCCTGTCTTACACTTCCTGGATATGAGAGCAGTGTCTCATCTCCATCATTTCCATGTATCATAGGAACAGGACTGCTGGGAAATAAATGTAAAGAAAGGAGGCTGGAGAAATTTGAAAAAAAAGAAATTTCTGACAGATGAATGGTAAAAGGTTTCTGAGGGTTGCTCAAAAATTCTGTACAACCCAGTTGTAAGTTCTGGTATGACCTCTTTGTCCCATCTGTAGCTTTTAACCTCTGTTGTATCCTAATCCATGTCTGATGATATCCATTCTGGCATGTGCAAGAAAGCACAGCATGGCTTTTATGACTGCTTTGTGCCACCTGCTCTGTGCCCATGTGGACACACCTAAAGCTAGCAGCACAGAAAGTATAGGAAAATCATAGAATCTTAGAACCATAGAATTGTAGAATGTTTGGGTTGGAAGGGACCTTGAAGATCATTTTGTTCCAGACCCCCCATCATGGGCAGGGGACACTTCCATCTAGACCAGGTTGTTCATAGCCCCATCCAATCTGTCCTTGAACAGTGCTAGGGATGGTGCATCTACAACTGCACTGGGTGACCTGTTCCAGTGTCTCACCATCCTTACAATAAATATTTTTTTTCCCTAATATCTAATATAAACCTACTCTCCCTAAATTTGATACCCTTCTGCCTTGTCCTGTCACTTCATGCCCCTGTAAATAGCTGTGCCCCATCTGTCTTGTAGGTTCCCTTCTAGGACTGGAAAGCTGCAGTTAGGTTACTCTGAAGCCACCTCTGCTCCAGGCTGAACAATCCCAATTCTCTCAGCCTTTCCTCAGAGAAAGTGCTCTATCCTCCTATCTGAACTTGGTGACAGTCCTCTGGACTCATCTAACAGGTCAGTGTCTTTACTGTGTGGTGGACAAGAGCTGGTTTGTTTGCTTTTGATGGCACTTTGCCATTGGTGTCCAGATGGATAATGGGTGGGTTAATCTCTAGTTTGCAGTGTCATTTCTAGCCTGTGCTGTCCTTCAACTCTCTGGACAGAAGAGATAAAAGAACTCCAGGGTTTGCCAGCATTAACGTATAGCTCTGGGAACATCTGTCATTTCTCAGCTTCTGAAGTGTCATTTTTTGCCCCCACTGTTTTTTAACAAGGAATCTATTCAACAGCATAGCACAAACCCCCGCTCACCTGTGATCCTCTAGGGAAGGCCTGCTGAAGAGGTGACCCCAGTGCTGCAACCTGCAGGTGTCAAAGATTTGTTAATCACCTCAGGCCAGTTACTTCAGGAGAGATAACTGAAGGGATAAGCAAGATGGAGATCAGGAAAAAAAGACAGCAGGCAAGATAAAAAAAAAAAAGAGAGGTATCAGTGAGTTAAAAATATAGTAAAAAGAAGTCAGAGTTATCAGCATTGTTTCACAATGCCGAAGTCTGTTCACACTGCCGAAGACTTCCTCTCACTGTAAGTTGCATGTTGTTCCAAGGCTGCATGTGTATTCAAGGCATGTACTAATGTAGGTACTATTATTTTTACACAAGCGTATCCCAAAAAACAATTTTTGCAATCTTGTAAACTTCTCATTATCAGTTGTATTAATCCCCAAACAAAGCTGAAACTGCTGTAGTTACTGTTTATTGACAGCTAAATAACAGTTGTCTCCAGCACAGAATTTACTGGGTTTTTTTTGGGGTTTTTTTTGCTTTTTTTTTGTGGTGTGTATGTAACTGCTAATAAAATTTGATAACATTTTACTTGTAGAGAGATTTTGGGTTAATGTTGAAAAATGTGCTAAGAGTTATCCAATTATATTACACAACTCTCCACTACAAATTCTAATTCTGCTTGAACAGAAGGATGCACTTTGAACCTAGTTTCCCCATGGTGTTCATTTTGAATCAAAACTGATTTTTGTCTTTCCTGATAAATGCTTCTATTGATTTTTCTACTGCTTAAGCTTCTACTTTAAGGAAAACACTTGTTTAAATCAATCCCTATTCTGAAAAACATGAGAGAACAGCTTAGTTGCAGGTCCTTTGTAGGCCTGATGGGTGTTCTCCCTGCACTATAAAAATGTTTGTATTATGGGGCTGTTTGAGTTAGGTTCATTAGTCATGGTCCCCCTCACCCATCATCCACCAAACTCCTTGATCTCAAATGGTGGTAGAATATTCTCTTCAGACAAATGACTGTTTTAAGGTGGGTGAGACCCAAAGTCCTGCAGGAGATTGTTGCACAGACTGCCCTTTGAAAGCTTGAGACTTTTCTCAAGCTTTTCTCCTTCTCACCCTTCTTTTGCCTTTTCTCCTCACCTTGGCTCTGGGCTCCTTTGTCCTTGTGGGCTGCTGCTGTTCTGACAGGTTCAGGATGGAAGTGATCACTACATCATTTTACCTGAAATACAATCCCCCAGATCCCTAATTAGGAAGAGTCCAAATGCTCAGTGCCTTAAAACACAGGTATATACCCTTATATCTGGGATTGGTCTGTCTGGTTTTCAGTAATGCGACCAGCTGAGAAATGCAGATGCAGAGTTCTAACCATCTCTCTTTATGAAAGCACATTTGTAGTTAGGATACAGATTCAGGCACCAGTTGATTGAGAGCTGATCTGCCAGTGCTGAGAACTTCTCTTACCTGGTAAACACAGAGACCTTTAGTAAAATAACATATTTTAGTGCAACCATCTTTCATATGAAGCATTGCAGAATGTTAATGAGGGTGAATGGAGGGTAAGAGAACCCAGTTCCATAGGCTGAGACACATCCACAATGGCAGAGTGCTTGGCACAGCAGCTATGGGCTTCTTCTCAGACCTTTAGGAGAAACTAAAATGTTACTAAAAAGAAGGAAAGAGTTCATTCTCTCCTCTTTCCTCAAATGGATTATTTGAAAACATTTCCTTCCAGTCTGCTGTACAAAATGCCTCACCTTCTATGAGGGTTTTTCATACTTACATGAATAACCACAGAAGAAAGCAAAAATGTATGCCCTACATTCAATCATCCCTGCATTAGCTATTTGTCAAATAAATTTGACTTACACAGGTCTTTTTACTGAAGACCTTGTATAGCTTTTTAAAAGTACTTAATTTTTTTTTTCTTGTTCCTTGTAATCTAATAATGTATGAGACAATGTTTACAGTGACAGAAACTTCTATTTCCGTGGTTTATCTTCAGAAGATATTCTTTGCTGTCTTTGAGAAATACATGGGTTGCCCTGGTTGCATGGTGTTGCATGGTTATGCCTAGCATCAGGTTGCTCTTAAGTTTTGGGGAATTTACAAGACTCATGGGAGTGCATTCATCCTGATAAAAGTTTCACCCCTAACAGTTTATTGAGCTAAAGATCAGATGTATGGTATTGAAAAAATTCTGATATTTCTTTCTATAGTTGATATAATTCTAATTATTCTTCCTTGAGTCAGTTATGGGTGGTTCTTCCCATCAGATTGCTTATTAAATTGCTTTGTAAGCTTGTAAAAGTATTTGCTGTTCCTGTGGCTTAAAGGGTCAGCTGTTTCCCAGGGTTCAAATGTAGTTTGGATGTAGCTTTCACGTGTACTGCTAAATGTCAAGGATTGCTGAAACCTTGTTTTGTCACAAGCATGGAGTGAGGCACATTTTTTTAAAGCAAGATAAAGATCTTAAGAACAGTTGATTTTCTGGAAAAAGGTAGAAGGCTTGCTGACCTTTTGAAATTAAGTGTAACTGAACTCCAGTGTTTATTGATCTGCACAGAAAAACCCTCCAAAATACCACAAATTGCTTTGTGAAATACTCCTCCCTTCTGGCATGAGGTGAAGTATTGAGCACTAGAAAGTGTTTTGATTATGCATTTAAAAATGCAAAACGTGTGAATATACATTTATATGGATTCTGTGGGTTATGATGAACTCTCAGAGTGCTAATGCCCAGCTGCACATCTTGAGAATATGTTTAGTTTCTGGCAGCCTTCTGTGGACAAGCCACCTTATTGGATGCTGCCAGAGGTCTTAAAATCAGTGACTGCCCTTCTCAGTTGTGCCTACATCTGTGCCATGTGACTTCTCCAAACAAGAGTGGATCACGGCCTATAGGTCCACGGCAGAGAAGTAGGCAGTGTATTTCATGCTAACACAAAAAATTCTTGGGTAGCACTGAAGAGTTGCATACCCAGGCAGCCTCTGGGCATTTCTCAGTGTGGAGTCATTCCCTGCTGTGCTGTGTTTGCAGCACTCCTCAAAGGCTTTGTGTGGTGTGCAAAATGTACTGCACAGGTAGCTGTAACTTATGCCCAGTCAGTTCTTGAAGGAGTTTTCTTTGTGTCAACACAGTTTTATTGTGACTTTGAAGTTGCCTGTTATGGAATGTGATCTCTATCTTTAATGTTCCTGAAAACATTCAAATGGGTCTGAGCTTCAATAATAACATTGTAAGATGCCTTCAACAGAAAAAGCAGTGCAGACCTTCTCTCCTTTTCCCTTATCTATTTATTTTTATAGCTACATGGTTTTATTTAGAAACCTTTAGTAACACTGGTATTGGAAACACTTAAGTTGAAAATACACCAGGTTTTTGGCAATACTTTCTGGCACTGGAACTTCAGGAGGCCACTGGGATGCAGCTCAGCAGAGAGAGGGCAAGTTCCATAGTCCTACA